CTCAACGGTATATGTGGGAACAATGACAATTACTGATTTTTTGCTATTTGTGTTGTGCCCCACTCCTTGGGGCAAACAAAAAGTGATTTACTACCATGATTATCACCATGATTACTTTTTTAGTAACCGTGTCATCACCTACTCCATTCCCTACCCTCTATCTTCTTAGACTTCCTATCTAAATTTTTTTTGTTCCTAAAACATCAGCAAGAATTTTTGAATCAAAGCATTGTCCAATTTGTCCTTACCTGATGTATTATCTTGATGTTATTTTTGATATTATTATAGATGGACCAAAAAAATTGCAATAGATACCCTTGGCACAACAAACCCATTTTCTTCATGTTTCTAAAATATTTATCAATTTCAATGGCAGTTGAATCCAACTAGACAATCAACGAGCATATTCAAATTGACATTCTATCTGCCAATAGAAATCTTGTTTCATTTTGAATTGTGAAGTTTATAAATATTTAAAAAGATGAAGGGAATCTGTTTGTTGTACTGAAGGTAATACCATATACAGTGAAGGGGTTAGAATTCAAATTGACCAATCCAGAAATTATATTGTGACATCATCGTTAGTTCCAATTAATGTTAAGGAGATCCAGCTTTTGAATTTGAATAAAAACTGATGATTAGCATTAAAAATTTGTACAAATACATTTATAAATACAGTACCGGTAGTATATAAATAGCCCCCTCTTACTGGTACTATATACCCGGTACTCCATCTGAAAATCATCTCCATTAATATACACATGAATTAGAAACTTTAAAATACGATCATTGAAATAAGACTTTTTTTTACTATAGACTCTCGTCAGTTATTATGTATCAGTAGCACAATTAAGCACTACTAATAGAGCAAATACGATAATTCTTTAATATTGCATTATTACAGACTTGCAGAAGAAGACAGACATAGAGAGTTTGATGCTTCAGTAAAAATACAAGCCTGGTTCAGAGCAGCTAGAGTGCGTGCATACATTAAATATCTGCACAGATGCGCAAATATAGTGCAGAAAGTATGGAGGGGTTACTTAGGAAGAGGAATATTCCGAGAACTAGTGAAGCAGCAAGTTATGATCATGAGAATGAACTATTATAATGCCATGGCAACTAAGGTAAAAACTTAAACCGCAATACTGCTTTATATGCTATTTAACATTCACAATATGCAATATACCATTTGTATATATCCATCATTGTCAAATTGTTGATTAGAAAATAAAAACAAATGTATTGTATGATCTAACAGATTCAAAAGATTTGGAGAGGGTATTATACTAGGAAGTATGTGCACAACTACTACAGTAGAAAACAATACTTGGAAGGATTGATGGTTAAGAATGAGATAATTAGGTAAGTGCCACATCTACCGTAGTATTGATTTTCATTTTTGAATGCCAAAATCAACTTTTGTAACCTTTTACAAAATAAACCTACCGGGTACATGTGTTTTTTTATTGATAAATGTTGATCAGGGAAAAATTATATTCGTTTGTTCCAAATCCAACAAAAAAATACATATGTACAAAATGTTGCACCAAAATATTGGCTTATCCTCACAAAAGTACCAGTATTAAGAACGTTGTCATACCTGAGAGTTAGTATATACATGTATATGTCTTCATTCTATTTGTACTGTAGCACAAGATTTAGTGTTGACAATGAAATCACTTTCAAATGTAATTTTTAATCTTGTTTGCAGGAATGAATTAGCAGAGTATACTGAACAGAAAGCAGCCGACAGACAACATGCAGAAGCAATTGCAGCTCAGAAAAAACTATTAGAAGAAGCGTCAAAAAGACATTATCTTATTAGTACAGAAGTGGTGAGTTCCATGATTATCATTTCAATGGTAGATATTACTGATTGGCTAACTCATTTCTACGAGGAGAACTATTGTTGCAGAAGTATGCATTATAGCCTGAAGTATAGTACACTGTGACTGCATGCTTTATCAATACTCACATGAGATTTTAGTACCGGTATATTACATATGACAGATGCTGTGCACATTATAAAATATTTGCTAAAAAAAATAAGAAATACACACAGTTCCACTTCCAGTTCAAATATTTTTTCGTCTCTGAGATTGCAAACTCTGTATACTTTGTGGGATTCTTAGAATTTTAATGTCTTATTTGATGATTAAAAAAATTTCACTTCTCTCACTTATTCTATTTATTCAAGGTACCAAGCATTTACAATTCTCCTTTCAAACCCCATCCTGATGAAATGGAGTTTATCCTGAGGAGTGTACAGCCAAGGCCACCAACAGGACCAAAACCTAAACGGGATAATAGATCAGGAATAATTGTACCACAGAGCCCACCATTACCACTCTCTGAACCATTGCCACCCATTGCTCAAAAACTACAGGTATGAAATTAACTTTCTTTTGTATCAGTAATGTCGAAACATGAAAAGCTTGAATGATTTGAATCTTTCATGCATTATAAAAACTCAATTCATTTCAGGGACCTTTCCGGCCACCTAATGAGGTTCTGAAGCAGAGATTCAAAGCATTGCAGCCAACCCTACGTGTACAGACCTCATTCACATCTGTGGATGAAGCAAGAGAAGCTATGAAAGCAAAGGAATGGGTGATGAGAGTCAATGACAATATGTAAGTGATAACAGTGATATAGATGTTCTGTGGTTACAGTCAAATTCAATAAGAACAATCTGATAGGTTATTCAGTTTTTTTGATTTTATCATTTCAAATTTACTAATTATTGACAACTCACCTGACTAAAATACTGGTGTCAGACACGTCTTTGGTATGAAATAATGTCTCGTTTTGTAATTTGAATAGGGTTAATTTCACATTAGATACTCATAATCTATAAATGGTGTAGATTAGGGTATGTAGTCTGATAGGACACAATTTTAAATGTCTCTCGGTAAATTATTCTAAATACTAATATTCCCAACCCATATCTTGAAACTTTACCAGAATCATTCTGCTACATAGAGCCCTAATGTTTTTACCAGCTTTGTATGATCTCACTTATTGAATCATGTCTCATGCAATTGTTAAGTTTTTAAGCACTTTATTGAGCACCAATGCCAACATATACTCATCCACCTGACAATTTTGTATACTGAATCATCTATCTGAATATTTGTTTCAGTTTTGAACCATTCACAAGAAGAACTGTACCCTATGAATCCTACTTGCATACCACATCTAAATATGGACACCTTCCATATGGTACCAGATATTTTCGAGAAGAAAACTTGGCTCAACACATTACCAGTTCGGTATGATTATTTTTATTAAATATCCTACTCATAGTTGAATTGAAAATCTAAGTTACTTGTACAGATATAGTTGCATCCTGAGGATTAACCATTCAGTAGGATTATTATTTAAAAATAGCCTACTCGTTGATGTAGAATTGAAATTTAAGTAACTTGTACAGATACAGTTGCATTCTGGGGAACTAATAGTAACACTGATGTGTATATGGATATCATGTTTCCATGACTCATGTTTCCCTCTTTAATCAAGTGTTTTTCTGAAAATGTGTATTTATGTTTTTAATTTCCACAGAATTTCAAGACCGTCGTTTCACCTATTCCTGTGTTTGAAAAACTGAACGATACATATGCCAAGGGGACCGATACGGTGCCAGGCAATCCAGTTTGAACATCCATATCTGACCATTGACTGCATGTTAGCTTGTTTTCAAAAGTTTTAAAGGTTTATACACCAGCGGCAAGTTTTTGTGAACTGTAAACACATTTATAAATATATAGTTACTTCCATGAAGCTATACTAAACAACTACAGAGTCTTAGAGTTATCTTTGTACACAATTTATAAAATACCATTTCAGAAATCATGTCTATTGTATAAAAAATAAATTGCAACTACCATAGAATGTACGGTATATCCTCGTTTGTGCCTGAAATCATTGTACTATATTATAGCACATTCCTCGACAATGTTGTGCAGTGTGTTTGTACAGTGAATTGGTTCCTACGTAATAAACAGAGGAATTAAAAATATATACTGTTTGGTAAACTTGTAAATAAGTTTAAGATTCTGTGTTATTGCGTGCTTTTTTGTATGTTAAATATTTTTGGAATAAGTTTGGAATTTCTAAAACAAAACAATTTTCATGAAATTACTGTAAGTTTTTGAATAAATAATTTTGTATATTACTGTAACTGATGCGTGTGCTTGCAATTTAATTGCCAATAACGACTACTGGTACCGAAATTATGCTTTATTATCAATACATGTACCTTCTCCGCTTTAGTTGATACTAGAATTTCCTGTTTGTAAAACACCTGAAAATAAGTAACCACCAAGTGACCCATTTCAAGCTGTTTATGAGTTTGTTAAAATTAAATGGCAGTACAAGGTCGGTCACTCCTATTGAGATTCACATATTCCTTGTAGGTGCCTTGGGGTATGGATTTGTTATTTTTGTGACACTAAAGATCTTAACAGAACTTCCTTTTGAAAACTTAGATTAATATGGTTAATTTAAAATTTGGTCAAAAATTTACTTTTTTTGACTTCTTGAAAACTACGGTACAAGCCTGCTTTGATACTTGCTGTATATGTACCTTGGGTAGACCTCTCTGAGATTTGTTCATTTGTGATATCTTTAATTCTCTAACTTTGGTGAATATTTTTGTCATTTTTGCTAAAAGTGATATTTTTGACTTCTTGTTGAAAACCACAAGTCTGATTGCTTTGATATTATACATATACCGGGTAGGTACCTCATGTAAACCGATCTCAGATTTGTTACTTTTGTGATGATATCTTCAATTCTCAATTGAAATGTGCATTGCTAACAGCAGGGCTATTTCAGTCACTTGAAATTACTTTAGCCAGACTATATTGTATATTGTATGTACTTGTGTGCTTCATAGATGTCTTGTTTAAGTGTCATGCATGGTAAGTGATACTAGATTTTAAATGGGGTGACCATAATAAATCACACAATCACACATATTCAAAACTTAATGGCCCAACTGTCTGTGCCAGTCAACCATAGGCCTTTGAAAGGCCCTGTAGACAGGAAGTCCAATTGTCTGTTATGTGCATGATTGGATTGTCTTTTGTACTCCATTGAAATCCTAGGTCTGTTTGTTTCATATTTAATCTGGAAAAATAAATGAATGGGATGTAAATTACAGTAGGCCACTTTTGAAGTCTATGCTCACTTACCAAATAAAAAAAAAAAAATTATAAGGATTTTACTATGAATAATAAATCAGATAAATGGGTCAATGGAACAACCTTCCACCACTTTGTAGATATCTTTACTAAGCATTGTACTCAAAGATTAGAACATAGTTGAACTCTGGTGACCTTGCCCTTTGTTATATAATATCATTCCCTTTATCGTAGTTTGTTTCAATATAAATATGCATTGTCATAATTAATTTTGAATACAAACAAGTTTTGGGGTTGAACCAACAGTGGGGAATCAGTCTACCGAATGTCCTTAAAAGATGTAAATATCTTACAAAAACATTGGTGCCTTATTTGTTTAATTATTTTAAGGGACATAATTTCCAGCTTTCTTCAAAGTAATTCAGATATTTTATATAAAAACAAATGTTTCATTGAAAAAAAAAAGTGCTGCATTTAGATGTGAATAGATTCATAAGACATGCAAGATAACAGAAAATTTTAGCTGGCTTTAGTCCAAGTATTTTGTATGGTTGTCTGTCAAAAATTAATGATTCACTGAGACAAATATGAACTGCCTCATTGTGTGACTACTGTATTATATGAAAAGTAAAAAAAACACCCTTTATGAATAGCTATCATGTTGCAAGCTCTGCTTTGTATGCAAATCAACTTAAATAGTTAGTTGGTGTCCAGTGGAGGGAGAAGTCAACAGTACTGTTGCCTCCTGAGAATCTACATCTTCAAACACTGCAATCTTTGAAGTGCGTTTTTAAACTAGTATTATAAAAATTCTATCATTCTGTTCTAATA